CGTTTTTGTGTGTTTGGTAGTTGTGGGATAATTTTAATTTTGGGCTTGTAAATGTGTGGTACTGCGTTTGGAGTGCCCCGATTAGGGCGAAACTCGGTACTTTAGTGTAAAACGAGTGGTAGAAGACGTTTTTGTGTGTTTGGTGGTTGTGGGATGGTTTTAATTTCTTGGTGAGTAACGATGTTGGTGAGGCTCGTATAAAATAAATTAAACCGGCCGGCTATCCGGGAATAAATAAGAGTGTGGCGCGGCGTTGAAACGCTCAGTATTCTCATAAGTCAATAAATTTTTATATTTGACGTGTTAGTTTACGATTACAATTATGAGATATTTATTAGAGTTGGTATTTATAATGCAGACATATTTATTAGTGGTGGAAATAAAACAAATAATTCGTAATAAATATAGTACATAGTTATAGATTCATGGTGAGTCGGGTTCAGGCAGGTATATAAGATCGGTCCGCCGTAAAACACTAAATTATATAGTGTTTTTGTATATTGATTAGGCGAAGGTAGACCGCAAGTCTGGCGCTGCTCTGCAGGAGGCCCCGAGTATTGATCAAATAAATATGGTTTACGAATAACCTGACTGCTATATTCCTAGCTTTTAGACTTTTCATTTCGAAGGAGCGATTATCATGACTCATCGACGATACTATCGCTGAAAAATGTCAACTCTGTCACTGAAATTTCCCCTTCGCTGAAACGAATTTAATTAGGAGGTGAGCGATGGACGAACTTCGATCACAATCAACCCTATTTATACTTTTCCTTAATTGTTTTAATAATACACGCATATTAAAACCTTTACTGCACTCAACTAAACAGTTATTTCATGCTTCGCAGGCTTCAAAGAAATTAGAACTTCCAGATAGCCTTGGAGAAAATCACACAAAAATCTAGTTTTCAAACACTATTTTTCATCAACTGAATTCAAATTTAATAATTTGAGTACCAAGTGGTACTTCAACGAAAATGGTACTACCAAAATCAAAATTGGTGCCACAGCAAACCCAAAATTTCAGCGAAGGTTAGTTGTTTTTATAGGTTTAGTAATTGGTTCGTAAAAAAGCAAAAGTCAGATTCGTTTGTTTGAGTACCAAGGTCGTACCACGAGTTTCTAGGCTCATTACTTTGATAATTATTACTCTGGAGTCGCATTTTTGTGTCTAGATAATAATTTCCGTATTTCAAAAAATCAATCACTTTTAATTTATTTCTATTAAAAATGTAGTACCAATCAAATTTTTTGTCATTTAGTAAAAGGCGAATGAATTTTCACTTCTATTTTACTAATACAAACAATATTTAGATGATTTCCAAAAACATTTAAATTTTGCCCCTTGCTACTGGAATTTACAAAAAATTGCTATCATTGAGTACTACCTAAATATTTTTTGACATTCTTTTCACATTCATTATGTTCTTGTAACAAATTTAACATAAGGCATTAATAATTAAGTAGTACTAAAGTGATTTAATAAAAAATAAAAAAAGAAACGATGTAGTAGGTAGTATTTTGTAAAAATATTATCTTGAGAATAGTACTTTAAAATTTTACACCAAAATAATATTATTACTTTGTAACACAAAATGTACCATTTGTAATTACCTTGAAAAGAAAAATGTTGCTCTGGTAGTACCATCCACTATATAGTTGAGTACTTTGATGTGGTACCACTAAAAACAAAAATGTCTAGAAATACAAAGTTTATTTTGAACAAATTACACACAATGAACACAAAAACAGACATATCAAAAGAAGTAGTACTCTATTATTACATGTTACGGGGTTAGTACCATCAAAACAAACGGTACTGCAAAAGTTGAAAAAGCTACACCATAATGAGGTTCTAATGTATTTTTTAGCGCGTTTGGTACCAAATCTTGTAGACAATATATTGGCAGTCCACCGGAAATGTAAGTCGGCGCTTGCTTCGACCTCGCTTTCAAGCCAAGGCTGAGTACCACCCCGGTACCACCCGTGAGAACCCTTCTAAAAATCGCCGCATCGTCATTACCGGCCCGCATTATCGGTCGCCCCATCTCCCCGTCGTAGATTTAAGAAACAAATTGGAATTTAAGTGCAAATTAATTACACTTCTTGAATTCAGTGGCCGCGCGCGCGGTCAAGGCAGCGCTCAAACGCCTCGTCCTATGTAAATAAGCCTTCTATCTTATCGAGCCATCGTCAGACTCCGCCCCTTTTATGTAACCCCCCGGTGGGGGGCTAAAACCCCAATTTTTACGCTAAATTTGAGCGATTTCGGATCGAATTACGTGTCACGTGATTGGATAAAGTCGTAAACAATGCAGAATCGGCCTTCAGTATCAAAGTGGAAGTCACGATGATGCTGCAACTTGTCATATTTAACCTGTCTATTCAATAAAACGGTTAATGGGGCGCGTGATTGGAGTGTGGCAGGTGGGATTACGAAGGGAGTAAGTTATACGCGCCCTAAGTGAGGGGTGATTCAAAGGGGAGAAATAAAAGCGATACTATCACTTGATCATTGCTTATTCGAAAGCGATTAGCCAGACGAACACATTGGTGAAAAAATTTTTCACCTACGATGATTTTTAACGAAGTTATAGGCTTTCAAAAGGACGGTACTACCATAATTTTTTTTCATTTTGTTTAAAAGGGTTGGGGGAAAAATAAAAGCAATACTATCACATGACCATTACTTGTTGTAAAGCAATTATCCAGACGAACACATTGGTGAAAAAAAATTTCACCTATGATGATTTCTAACGAAGTTATTGCCTTTAAAATGAGCGGTACTACCATGAATTTTGTCATAGTGGAATATTTTTTTATCAAATCTTGCACAAAATTGAAGAAAAACTTTAAATAGATGGTTCTTGCAAAAAAAATCATTCACGATGACTTCCAATATAGTTATTATAAGCCTCAAAAAAGCAGTACTACTATAGAATTTTGCCAGAATAAAATATTTTTTATTAAACTTTGTACAAACTTCTGAAGACTGAACAATAAACACAAATATGTGGCTTTGGCGACAATGAAAAATGTTCTTGTCGGGTAGTACCAAAAACAATTTTCCCAAATGATAGAAATGTTGTAAATTTTTGCTTTCTATGGCAAATTTTTGATATTATTACTGCTATATTAAGTTAAAAAAGTGATAAAACTATCTTTTAACTATGGTGGTACCACCTATAATATTTTACTGTTTGGTTAAAACCACCACTGATACTTCTAACCAAACATAACTATTGACGTACTGCAGTAAATGGATCGCGGAATGGTACTTTTATCTAGTTTAGTACTACCATAATACTATTTTTGGGCGGTACTCAAATTTAGAATAATTTTTGCTTTCTGAAACAAATTTAAGCATGACTGCTATCATATCCGTTGATGTTTTTATAAATTAGAATAGTACTACTATCATAGTTTTTGTGGTAAGTACTAGTAATATTTATGATTTTTCCAGCAAAATTGGTCATTTTAGACACATTTTGTTAAACTATACAGTAAATACTTTAAAAAATGTTTGTCTCGTCAATTTCTAGAAGTACCATACACGTCACGTGTCGTTTGTCTACATGGTACCATTCCTTGTATCTCCAAAATGTTACGATCGTTATTTGTTTTGTCTGTTTGAGGGCAGGCCACCGTACCAATAGCACTTTTCAAGCCCCAAATAGATTATAGAATGTTATTTATATGTTTTTGAGTAGTACCATAGTACCATTTTTGAGGAATACTATATATACATTACAATAATGTTGCTTTCTGAGACAGATTTTAAATACATATGAACGCTCCCATATCCCGTTGATGTTTTTAAAAATTATGGTAGTACCACTTACATGGTTTGTGGTACTTGTTGTGTTGTTAATGATTTTTCTCCGAAAATTGCTTTAAATATATTATTAAAAAGATGTTTATCTTGTCAATTTTTGCGTAGTACCAGTACCACTTGTCGCTTGTCTACCGTGTTATAGTACCATTTTATGCATCTCCAGTAATGAGTGTCACCATCGTTGTTTGTTTTATTTATTTTGGTGGTAGTACCACAGTAACAATAGCACTTTCCAAGCTCCGAATAGATCGTAGAATATTACTTATATCTATTTTTAAGTAGTACCGTAGTACTATGATATTGATATTATAAATACATTACAATCATTTTTTCCTTTCTAAGACAGATTTTAGATATGATGGCAACCATATCCCATTGATGTTTTTAAAATTATGGTAGTACCACTTTTATGATTTTTAAGGTACTTGTAATGTTAACGTTTTTTTACGAAATTTACTTAACACTGCAGTCAATATATCAAAAAAAAAGTGTCTCCTCAATTTTTGGTTGGTACCAGTACCACTTGTCGTTTGTCTACCGTGTTACGGTACCATTTCTTGCATCTCCAGTAATGAGTGTCAGCATCGTTGTTGGTTTTGTTTATTTTGGTGGTAGTACCAGCGTAACAATAGCACTTTTCAAGCTCCGAATAGGTCATAGAATGCAATTTATATCAATTTTTGAGTAGTACCATAATACCATTTTTGAGTAATTTTGAGTTCTGAGACAGATTTTAGATAAGCTAGCTCCCATATGTCGCGTTGATGTTTTTAAAAATCATAGTAGTACCACTTACATGGTTTTTGTGGTACTTACTGTATTGTTAATATATTTTCTTCAAAAATTGGTAGTTTTAGACAAATTTACTTAGAACTGCAGTAAATATATCAAAAAATGTTTGTCTCGTCAATCTTTGAGTGGTACCAGTACCATTTCTTGCATCTCCAGTAATGAGTGTCATATCTATTTTTAAATAGTACCATAGTACCCTTTTTGAGTGATACTATACATTGCAATAATTTTGCTTTCTGAGACAGATTTTAGATATAATCGCTCCCATATCCCGTTGATGTTTTTAAAAATTACGGTAGTACCACTTTTGTAATTTTTGTGGTACTTGTATTGTAAATGATTTTTCAACAAAAATTGGGCGTTTTAGACAAATTTACTTACAAATGCAGTAAATATATCAAAAAAATTTTTTGTCTCGTCAATTTTTGGGTGGTACCAGTACCACTTGTCGCTTGTCTACCATGTTACAGTACCATTTCTTGTAATGAGTGGCCCCATAGTTGTTTGTTTTGTTTATTTTTCTGGTAGTACCATCGTAACAATAGCACTTTTCAAGCTCCGAATAGATCATAGAATGCAATTTATATCTATTTTTGAGTAGTACCATCGTACCATTTTTGAGTAATTTTGCGAGACAGATTTTAGATATATCTCCCATATGTCGCGTTGATGTTTTCAAAAATCATAGTAGTACCACTTACATAGTTTTTGTGGTACTCATTGTATCGTTAATGATTTTTCTGCAAAAATTGGTATTTTTAGACAAATTTACTTACAACTGCAATAAATATATCAAAAAATGTTTGTCTCGTCAATTTTTGGGTGGTACCAGTACCATTTCTTGCATCTCCAGTAATGAGTGTCATATCTATTTTTAAGTAGTACCATAGTACCCTTTTTGAGTTATACAATAAATTGCAATAATTTTGCTTTCGGAGACAGATTTTAGATATAATCGCTCCCATATCCCGTTGATGTTTTCAAAATATATGGTAGTACCACTTTTATAACTGCAGTAAATATATCAAGAAACTTTTTGTCTCGTCAATTTTTGGGTGGTACCAGTACCACTTGTTGCTTGTCTACCGTGTTACAGTACCATTTCCTGTAATGAGTGGCCCCATAGTTGTTTGTTTTGTTTACTTTGATGATGGTACCACCGTAACAATGGTACTTTCCCATCTCCGACCGCCAGCACACTGACCTTCCTCACTTCTCATCACTTATCCCGTTTCGTATCGTCCGATTTTCACGCTTCTTGCCCGATTGTTCCACAACATAGCTTTGCAGTCTCGCGATAACGCTAATTAGATGTAATTACATATTGTTCCGCTCATTTTCATGCCTATTCTTCGATCGAGTGTCCGGCAATAATCAGACTAGCAATAATTAAAACTAATTTCAGTTGTTATGCACAAAGATAAGGACGATGGCGGCCTACATCGTACCAGAGATCTCACCGCCTTCGACCACACACCCCTAGACGGCGAAATGTTCCTCCAGGTACCACCCACCACCTCAGTACCACTCAAACTAAACCAAAAATTTTCGATTTTTCAAGGCCTTGAACGGTTTTCTCATGATCCTGACCTGCGAAGGGGAGGTTTTCTTCGCAACGCACAGCATTGAAGGGTACTTGGGGTTCCACCAGTCCGATATTGTCCATCAATCCGTCTACGAACTCGTCCATTCGGAAGATAGAGAAGAATTGCAAAGACAACTCATGTGGAACTCTTTTCTTCCACCCGAATCGGCAAATATGGGCCTTCAAGATGTTCTCCTACCAGAAAATTGTCATTTGCTAGAGAGAAGCTTCACAGTGCGCTTCCGATGTCTCCTAGATAATACTTCCGGTTTTTTGGTACGTTTCAGTACCACCAAGATTTTTTCAAAAAAATTCTTACTCATTTGCAGCGTTTAGATATAAGAGGGCGTGTTAAGGTACTACATGGCCAAAATCGTAAATCAGACGAAGCACCTTTGGCACTTTTTGCGATTTGTACCCCTTTTGGGCCACCCTCTTTGTTGGAAATACCACAAAAAGAAGTCATGTTTAAGAGTAAGCACAAATTGGATTTGGCCTTGGTCTCAATGGATCAGAGGGGGAAAATGCTACTGGGGTACTCGGACTCGGAGTTGGCCACGATGGGAGGGTACGACTTGGTGCACTACGACGATTTGGCCTACGTGGCCAGTGCACACCAGGAATGTAAGTCCCAAACCAAAACTCTAAGCAAATTTTGTGGGGTACTCCAATTTTGCAAAATTTTTGGTAGTACCACTTTCACAATTGTGGTACTTTTGAAAAATAGCTAATTTGAAAGGAGTACCATTTGAGTAAATTGACAAGTCAAGTGTAGAAGTAAAAAAATCGAGTTATACACTTGGATTTTTTTGGTAGTACCACTTTGTGGTACTTTCAATGTTTACAATTTTTTTTATCAAAGACAGCTACTTTAAAAACAAAGTTTGATTATAACTATAGTGGGAGAATAGAATGCTTTTTTGTCAATTTTTGAGAAGTACCAAAACAATTTTTAAATATTTTTGGTTTTTAGTGTTGATTTCAAACATTATTACTGTTATAACAAATTCAAAAATAAAAATATAAAAACATATTTTAGATATTACTAAGATGAAAAAACTAAAAATATAAGTACACTTGTTTAAAATGTTTGGTGGTACCATTTTCAAAACTATTTGTGGTACTTTTGAAAGATGTTTAATTCAGAAGCAGTGTTTGCTCAGAGCTGGAAATTTACTTTAAAATAGTACTTTTATCAATTTTTAAATTGTGTCATAGTACTATAGTACCATTTTGAGTTGCACAACAAATTTACATCAATTTTGGGTTCTAGAGCACAATTTGAGTATAACCACTGTCATGTCAAGTTAATAAATTGAAATTTTTCGGTAGTCCCATTTTTTTTTAATTTTGTAAAACTTGCAATGTTTCCAATTTTTTAATAAAAAAAAGTGAAAATGATAAAAACAAACTTATTTAACATTTTTGGTGGTACCACATTCAAAACTATGCCCTTTTTTGATTTTTTTGAAAATGGCTAATTGGCTAATTGACCTTAAACTGGTACTTTAATCAATTTTTAAGTTGTGTCATAGTACTATAGTAACATTTTGAGTTGCACAACAAATTTACAATACTTTTTAAGCTTTAGAGCACAATTTAGGTGTTACCACTGTCAGGTGAAATGCAAAAACTAAAAAATCGAGTTATGTACTTGAATTTTTTGGTGGTACCACTTTTAAAATATTTTGTGGTGCTTGCAATGTTTAATTTTTTTATCAAAAATGGCTTCTTTAAAAACAAAATTTTATTATGACTACAGTAGGACAATAGAATGCTTTTCTTGTCAATTTTTGAGAAGTACCAAAACAATTTTTAAATATTTTTGTTTTGTAGTGTTGATTTCAAACATTATTACTGTTATAACAAATTCAAAGAAAAAATATTTTAGATATTACTAAAATTAAAAAACTAAAAATATAAGTACACTTGTTTAAAATGTTTGGTGGTACCATTTTCAAAACTATTTGTGGTACTTTTAAAAGATGTTTAATTCAGAAGCAGTGTTTGATCATAGCTGGCAATTTACTTTAAAATTGTACTTTTATCAATTTTTAAGATGTGTCATAGTACTATAGTACCATTTTGAGTTGCACAACAAATTTACAATACTTTTTAAGCTTTAGACCACAATTTAGGTGTAACCACTGTCATGTCAAGTTCAAAAACTAAAAAATCGAGTTATGTACTTGAAATTTTTTGGTGGTACCACTTTCAAAACATTTTGTGGTACTTGCAATGTTTATTTTTTTTATCAAAGATGGCTACTTTAAAAATAGAATTTGATTATGACTAGAGTAGGACAATAGAATGCTTTTCTTTTCAATTTTTGAAAAGTACCAAAACAATTTTTAAATATTTTTGTTTTTTAGTGTTGATTTCAAATATTATATGTGTTATAACAACTTCAAGAAAAAAATTAAAAAAACATTTTACATATTACTAAGATGAAAAAAAAAATAAGATATAAAAATATAACGTTACTTACTTAAAATGTTTGGTGGTACCATTTTCAAAACTATTTGTGGTACTTTTGAAAGATGTTTAATTCAGAAGCAGTGTTTGATATAGCTAGAAATTTGCTTCAAAATAGTACTTTTATCAATTTTCAAGTTGTATCATAGTACATACTATAGTACCATTTTAAATTGCATAAAAAATCTACAATTTACAATACTTTTTTTAGGTATCACCACTGTCATGTAATAAATTGAGGTACTTAGATTTTTCGGTGGTACCATTTTTTAAAAAAAAATTGTAAAACTTGCAATGTTTCCATTTTTTTAATCACAAAAAAATTGATAACCATAAAAACAAACTTCTTTAACATTTTTGGTGGTACCACTTTCAAAACTATTTATGGCATTTTTTGAAAAATGGCTAATGAATCTTAAACGTAGTACTTTCATAAATTTTTAAGTTGTGACAAAGTACTATAGTACCATTTTAGGTTGCAAAACAAATTTACAACACTTTTGGGTTCTTGAGCACAATTTAGGTATAACCACTCTCATGTCAAATGCAAAAGTTAATAAATGGAGTAACTTAAAATTTTTGGTGGTATGTAACCATTTTTAAAGTATTTTGTGGTACTTGCAATGTTTATGATTTTCTAACTAAAGATGGAAACTTTAAAAACAGTATTTGGTTCTATCAATTTTTGAGAAGTACCAAAGCACTATTTTTAATATTTTTACTTTTTAGCACAGATTTCAGAGATTACCACTGTTTTAACAAATTTTGGTGGTACCAATGCTATTTCTGTAGTAACTTCTCGGGTGGTACCATGTCAAGCTTAATTGTAGTACCATTGTCATGATACCAAAAGAACTAGTCTTGTATGGTACCACCATCAGTGATTGTAATAGTTGTCTAAAGTGGTACCAATCTTTGTTACAGTCCCAAAGTACTATTTTTAATATTTTTACTCTTGAGTACAAATTTCAGAGATTACCACAAATTTAAAAGAATTCCAAATTTTGGTAGTACCAGTGCTATTTCTGTAGTAACTTTTCGGGTAGTACCATGTCAAAGCTTAATTGTAGTACCATTGTCATGATACCAAAAGAACTAGTCTTGTATGGTACCACCATCAGTGATTGTAATAGTTGTCTAAAGTGGTATCAATCTTTGTTAGTCTCAAAGTACTATTTTTAATATTTTTGCTTTTGAGTACAAATTTCAGAGATTACCACAAACTCAAAAGAATTCCAAATTTTCGTGGTACCAGTGCTATTTCTGTGGTAACTTTTCGGGTAATACCATGTCAAGCTTAATTGTAGTACCATTGTCATGATACCAAAAGAACTAGTCTTGGATGGTACCACCATCAGTGATTATCATAGTTGTCTAAAGTGGTACTAATCTTTGTTACTATTTTTAATATTTTTGCTTTTGAGTACAAATTTCAGAGATGACCACAAATCCAAAGAAATTATAAATTTTGGTGGTACCAATGCTATGTCTGTAGTAACTTTGTCATGATACCAAAAGAACTGGTCTTGTATGGTACCACCATCAGTGATTGTCATAGTTGTCTAAAGTGGTACCAATCTTTATTACAGTACCAAAGCACTATTTTTAGTATTTTTGCTTTTCAGTACAGATTTCAGATTACCACAAATTCAAAAGAATTCGAAATTTTGGTGGTACTAATACTATTTCTGTGGTAATTTTTCGGGTAGTACCATGTCAAGCTTAATTGCAGTACCATTGTCATGAGTTAGTCTTATATGGTACCACCATCAGTGATTGTCATAGTCGTCTAAAATGGTACCAATCTTTGTTACAGTACTCAAAACTGGTGCTTCTGGTATGATCGCCTATCGGTTTCAAACAAAAGATGGTCAATGGCAGTGGCTCCAAACCAGTTCTCGACTAGTCTACAAAAACTCCAAACCGGACTTTGTGATCAGTACCCACCGGCCTTTAATGTAACTTTACCCCATTTCTCCACTGGTACCACCTTGTAAATGGTGTTTTTCTTCCAGGGAGGAGGAAGGTCGCGACCTCCTCGGCAAACGTACCATGGATTTCAAAGTGAGTTACTTAGACGCCGGTCTTCCAAACAGCTACTTCTCCGAAAGCGACCTCCTCAGTACCACCACCACAGCTCAACACAACCTAACCCCATCTCGGGTCAATCGCCGGTACAAAACCCAACTTCGCGATTTCCTCTCAACATGTCGTACCAAACGCAAACTGTCAAACTCGGGCCAAGTGACTCCGCCCACCAACACCACAGTCACCGCCCCCATGCCCACGGTGGATTACATCGCGCCTGATTACAACATGTACAGCACCACCTACCCCACCCCCACTCCCGATCACAGCCTCTCCTACATGCCCCACTCCAACTTCTACCCCACTACCCCGCTCGACAACCGGTACTTGACCACCACGGAAAACCTCTTCCACCAGTACCGCCCACTTGGCACCTACTACCCCGAGTACCACTCCACCCCTTCTAGCCCCTACAACGGCTTCCCCTACGACCCCACCCCCACAACTAGTCACTACCCCTGCCAGCAGTCGTACGCCAACTCGGGTACTTGGCCCTACTCCGTGAGCCCCTCCTCGGGGATCATCCAGCCGGTGCAAGTGATGGAGTTGGGGAAGCCGTGCAAAATCTCCAAAATTGAACCATCCGGGTTGGTCACTCCCAAGATGGAGGACCGCGAGTACTCGGGGGAAGTACCACGCCAGACGGTACTCATGTGGGGGTCAAATCCGCCGACGACGAGCGACGAGAGCAGCGAACTCGCCACCCAATGGAATGGCGAGGAGAAGACTGAGTCTGCGCAAAGCGAAGACAGTCATCCCCACCACACCGCTCATCATCATCACAATTCGCGCGTTGTGATGGTATTGTGATGAATGTGGACTCGTGTATATAACTCCAGCACACGTATTTTATTACTCCGCAAACATATCTTCCTGTGTTTTTGTTGTCAATGTCTTCGATTAGGACCTAACCTCTTTTTTTTGTTATTTATTTTTAGTTTTTACGCAGTGAAAACATGCTAGTCAACTGGTTAACTGTATATGTTGTATATTATTATTTATGAATGTAGTAATATAATGAGTAGATTAGTCCATTGTTCAATTGTTTTTCTATAAATATTTACAAACAAAACGAATTATCAAATATATAACTTCATGTACCATGTACTATTCAGTTCTAGGGACGAACAAACATTCCATTCAAAGATTTTTCAATTGTACATTTAAGAATCTTGTATTACCTTTAACGTGTATGAAAATTATATAATGATAAAATAAAAATTATATTACAATAGAAACAGACACATGACTTTCATTCACACGGCCAACGGGGGATACGAAACCATTTTACGGACCAACGCAGGAAACAAATTTAACACGCACAAAAAAAACACACACTCTTAAATACACATTTAACACACCACAAAAAGTGAGTTTTCCTAAATTACTAATTCATAATTAGCGATAAAGAACAAAAAACTTAAACAAAAAGGATTTGAAGGTTAGGTAATAATTTTTGGTAGATAGGCAACTAGTAATACCACAACAAACATAATAAAGTATTAAAATCAGTCAAAACTTTGTTTATAACATTTAAATTAATTATTTTTAATTACAATTGACAAATATTAGTAAAAAACTATTAATTTAAATAATAATTTAATAAATTTGATGGTATAAGCAACTAATAA